CATGGGATTGGTGAAGGATTTGGACATGGGATTGGCGTGAGGCATTTGGACATGGGATTGATTGGACATGGGATTTGGTGTTGAGGGCGGGAAGAAGGATTGGACGAAGGATGAAATGGAGGATGGTGTGGCGTGCTGAAGGAGGCTTAGGATAAATGAAGGTGGGACTGTGGAGAGAGGGATGAAAGGGGAGAGAAAGACATGGAAAGAAAGAAAAAAAAACATTTTTTGGAAAATTTTTAAAGAAAAAAAAAACATTTTTGGAAAATTTTAAAGAAAGAAAGAAAAAAATAGACATTTTGGAAAATTTTGAAAAGAAAGGGAAAAAAAAATAGACATTTTGGAAAATTTGAAGAAAGAAAAAAAAAAGACATTTTGGGAAAATTCTGAAAGAAGAAAAAAAAAGACATTTTTGGAAAATTTGAAAGAAAGGAAAAAAAACAGGGAACATTTTGGAACATTCTGAAAAAAGAAATCAATAGAACACTTTGGAAAATTTTGAAAAGAATGAAAGAAAGAAAAAAAAAAAAGACATTTTTGGAAAATTTTGAAAGAAAGAAAAAAAATAGGAACAGATTTTGGGAAAATTTAAGAAAAAAACCAAAAAAATAGACACTTTGGAAAATTTGAAAGACAAAAATTAATTTTTCGTCCATTAGGGAGCAGGACCTCTTGACAAAAAAAAAAAGAAAAAAAAAAAAGAACAAAAATTTTACAATCGATGCTTAAAGACGGATTTTTTCTCATTAGCCAANATTCATGGGGGGCACAGGACACATGCGACCGCTTCACGGTGTGGTGATTGATGGGATTCATGGGGGGCACAGGACACATGCGACCGCTTCACGGTGTGGGTGATTGATGGGATTCATGGGGGCACAGGACACATGCGACCGGTGTGGGTGATTGATGGGATTCATGGGGGGCACAGGACACATGCGACCGCTTCACGGTGTGGGTGATTGATGGGATTCATGGGGGGCACAGGACACATGCGACCGCTTCACGGTGTGGGTGATTGATGGGATTCATGGGGGGCACAGGACACATGCGACCGCTTCACGGTGTGGGTGATTGATGGGATTCATGGGGGGCACAGGACACATGCGACCGCTTCACGGTGTGGGTGATTGATGGGATTCATGGGGGGCACAGGACACATGCGACCGCTTCACGGTGTGGGTGATTGATGGGATTCATGGGGGCACAGGACACATGCGACCGCTTCACGGTGTGGGTGATTGATGGGATTCATGGGGGGCACAGGACACATGCGATCACGGTGTGGGTGATTGATGGGATTCATGGGGGGCACAGGACACATGCGACCGCTTCACGGTGTGGGTGATTGATGGGATTCATGGGGGGCACAGGACACATGCGACCGCTTCACGGTGTGGGTGATTGATGGGATTCATGGGGGCACAGGACACATGCGACCGCTTCACGGTGTGGGTGATTGATGGGATTCATGGGGGGCACAGGACACATGCGACCGCTTCACGGTGTGGGTGATTGATGGGATTCATGGGGGCACAGGACACATGCGACCGCTTCACGGTGTGGGTGATTGATGGGATTCATGGGGCACAGGACACATGCGACCGCTTCACGGTGTGGGTGATTGATGGGATTCATGGGGGGACACATGCGACCGCTTCACGGTGTGGTGATTGATGGGATTCATGGGGGGACACATGCGACCGCTTCACGGTGTGGGTGATTGATGGGATTCATGGGGGGCACATGCGACCGCTTCACGGTGTGGGTGATTGATGGGATTCATGGGGGACACATGCGACCGCTTCACGGTGTGGGTGATTGATGGGATTCATGGGGGGACACATGCGACCGCTTCACGGTGTGGGTGATTGATGGGATTCATGGGGGCACATGCGACCGCTTCACGGTGTGGGTGATTGATGGGATTCCACATGCGACCGCTTCACGGTGTGGGTGATTGATGGGATTCATGGGGGGGACACATGCGACCGCTTCACGGTGTGGGTGATTGATGGGATTCATGGGGGACACATGCGACCGCTTCACGGTGTGGGTGATTGATGGATTCATGGGGGGCACATGCGACCGCTTCACGGTGTGGGTGATTGATGGGATTCATGGGGGGACACATGCGACCGCTTCACGGTGTGGGTGATTGATGGGATTCATGGGGGGACACATGCGACCGCTTCACGGTGTGGGTGATTGATGGATTCATGGGGGACACATGCGACCGCTTCACGGTGTGGGTGATTGATGGGATTCATGGGGGACACATGCGACCGCTTCACGGTGTGGGTGATTGATGGGATTCATGGGGGGGGCGATTCACCAGGACACATGCGACCGCTTCACGGTGTGGGTGATTGATGGGATTCATGGGGGGCACATGCGACCGCTTCACGGTGTGGGTGATTGATGGGATTCATGGGGGCACACATGCGACCGCTTCACGGTGTGGTGATTGATGGGATTCATGGGGGGACACATGCGACCGCTTCACGGTGTGGGTGATTGATGGGATTCATGGGGGGCACAGGACCGCTTCACGGTGTGGGTGATTGATGGGATTCATGGGGGGACACATGCGACCGCTTCACGGTGTGGGTGATTGATGGGATTCATGGGGGGCACAGACCGCTTCACGGTGTGGGTGATTGATGGGATTCATGGGGGGGACACATGCGACCGCTTCACGGTGTGGGTGATTGATGGGATTCATGGGGGCACATGACCGCTTCACGGTGTGGGTGATTGATGGATTCATGGGGGCACACACATGCGACCGCTTCACGGTGTGGGTGATTGATGGGATTCATGGGGGGCACATGCGACCGCTTCACGGTGTGGGTGATTGATGGGATTCATGGGGGGACACATGCGACCGCTTCACGGTGTGGGTGATTGATGGGATTCATGGGGGACATGCGACCGCTTCACGGTGTGGGTGATTGATGGGATTCATGGGGGGCACACATGCGACCGCTTCACGGTGTGGGTGATTGATGGGATTCATGGGGGGACACATGCGACCGCTTCACGGTGTGGGTGATTGATGGATTCACACATGCGACCGCTTCACGGGGTGATTGATGGGATTCATGGGGGCACATGCGACCGCTTCACGGTGTGGGTGATTGATGGGATTCATGGGGGCACAGCGACCGCTTCACGGTGTGGGTGATTGATGGATTCATGGGGGCACATGCGACCGCTTCACGGTGTGGGTGATTGATGGGATTCATGGGGGGGACACATGCGACCGCTTCACGGTGTGGGTGATTGATGGGATTCATGGGGGGGACACATGCGACCGCTTCACGGTGTGGGTGATTGATGGGATTCATGGGGGGCACAGACCGCTTCACGTGTGGGTGATTGATGGATTCATGGGGGGACACATGCGACCGCTTCACGGTGTGGGTGATTGATGGGATTCATGGGGGGACACATGCGACCGCTTCACGGTGTGGGTGATTGATGGATTCAGCACATGACTTTCATGGGGGGGGCACATGCGACCGGGTGTGGGTGATTGGATTCATGGGGGGGACACATGCGACCGCTTCACGTGTGGGTGATTGATGGGATTCATGGGGGGCACATGCGACCGCTTCACGGTGTGGGTGATTGATGGGATCATGGGGGGCACAGGACACATGCGACCGCTTCACGGTGTGGGTGATTGATGGATTCATGGGGGGACACATGCGACCGCTTCACGGTGTGGGTGATTGATGGGATTCATGGGGGCACATGCGACGCTTCACGGTGTGGGTGATTGATGGGATTCAGGGGGCACATGCGACCGCTTCACGGTGTGGGTGATTGATGGGATTCATGGGGGGACACATGCGACCGCTTCACGGTGTGGGTGATGATGGGATTCATGGGGGGCACATGCGACCGCTTCACGGTGTGGGTGATTGATGGGATTCATGGGGGCACATGCGACGCTTCACGGTGTGGGTGATTGATGGATTCATGGGGGACACATGCGACCGCTTCACGGTGTGGGTGATTGATGGGATTCATGGGGGGGACACATGCGACCGCTTCACGGTGTGGGTGATTGATGGGATTCATGGGGGACATGCGACCGCTTCACGGTGTGGGTGATTGATGGGATTCATGGGGGCACATGCGACCGCTTCACGGTGTGGGTGATTGATGGGATTCATGGGGGGCACAACCGCTTCACGGTGTGGTGATTGATGGGATTCATGGGGGCACATGCGACCGCTTCACGGTGTGGGTGATTGATGGGATTCATGGGGGCACAGATTCACCACACATGCGACGCTTCACGGTTGGGTGATTGATGGGATTCATGGGGGCGACCGCATGATGGGACACATGCGACCGCTTCACGGTGTGGGTGATTGATGGGATTCATGGGGGGCACAGCGACCGCTTCACGGTGTGGGTGATTGATGGGATTCATGGGGGGGGACCGCTTCACGGTGTGGGTGATGATGGGATTCATGGGGGGCACATGCGACCGCTTCACGGTGTGGGTGATTGATGGGATTCATGGGGGGCACATGCGACCGCTTCACGGTGTGGGTGATGATGGATTCATGGGGGGCACATGCGACTTCACGGTGTGGGTGATTGATGGGATTCATGGGGGCACATGCGACCGCTTCACGGTGTGGGTGATTGATGGATTCATGGGGGGCACATGCGACCGCTTCACGGTGTGGGTGATTGATGGGATTCATGGGGGGCACATGCGACCGCTTCACGGTGTGGGTGATTGATGGGATTCATGGGGGGCACATGCGACCGCTTCACGGTGTGGGTGATTGATGGATTCATGGGGGGCACATGCGACCGCTTCACATTGATGGATTCATGGGGGGACACATGCGACCGCTTCACGGTGTGGGTGATTGATGGATTCATGGGGGCACACATGCGACCGCTTCACGGTGTGGGTGATTGATGGATTCATGGGGGCACAGGACACATGCGACCGCTTCACGGTGTGGGTG